GTGAAGGTCAAAACTGGGGGGTCAAAGTGAGGAGCTTGATTTCGCCCTCTCTTCTGATTCGTTTTCTTCTTTGCCTTCAGCAATGAATCATCCCCAGGTCTCACCTCCCCCACTTCCAGTCCTGCTGCAGTGTCAGCTCCTCTCTGCATCCCCCCCGTTTGCAGCAGACCCTAAATCCTCCTCTTCCTCTGTCACAGTGTCCCACCTGGCAGACCGACAGCGCTGAGCTTCTCCACAGCTCCCGTCTCCGTCTCCTTTAACCCCCCTCGCCTCGCCCCCTCCCCTCCCCGGACACCGCAGCTAGTTCCCTCTCTCTCTCTGCAATGCAGCCAGCAGCGTCCAACAAGCCAGGGGACTGTGTGACTGAATCCCCCTCTCTTCTCCACCTCTCTGCTGGACTCAAAGCACCCTTTATGGGCCTATTTTTCTACCCTGCCCCTCCCTCTTCTCTCCTGCTCAGAGCTGAGCTGCCGACATCCTGCAGGTTCCATGATCATGGCTGGGCAGCAGCCTAAGACAAATTACAGTTACAGTATGCAGCTGATGCGCAGCTGCCAAAGCCACTCAGACACATTTCATTCAAGTCTGGTAATAGAACGCACACTGCTTAAACTATTGTAAGTAAATAAAGTCAAACTGGTTCCACCCCATCACATTACTGTTATGTCATTTCTCCCAGTCCTGTCTACGTTCTCCGCTCTGGCTCCCTGAACAATGATACACATTTTACTGTAACACACTCGTCATGGCTTCAGCGCTATTCCTCTTTTTCAGTTTGAAAACAAAGAGCAACGATAACTGCCTGATGATCACAAAGGCTTTGATGGTGGCCACCAGAGTAAATTGAACAAAAAGGATTTTTCAAAAACTCAAACAGCGAACCATGGCTGTGATGGGTAATGACGTGCACACCTCCCAGATCTTAACAACACATGGTGTGGAGCTGTACGTCAAACAGCTGAGTGGTTAATTCAACAGCACACAGTATTAGGAAGTAATACTGTTTTTCTTTCAGACTGAGTATAGTTCCATTTCAGAACTGTATTGCAATAGGAGGCGTCCTAGCAGAGCACAGCAAACTAGATTCCCCTTCCAAGTTGTTGAAACATGGGACCATGCCCATTTTTCTCACATTTGTTTCATGGACATAGTGGTTTGTTTACACTTTCACTGGGGTGCAGTAAGTGTCAATTTCTTCTATTTTCTTTGCATTGGTGCTTGATAAACACAGTGGTACAAGTACAGTTTGCTATAAGAACAATAACATGGCTGGACACCACCTGTGTAGATTTGTTTACATGCAGCCCAGAGAAGCTAAATTCCAAGTTTAGACTGTTCCTGATGCAAACTTCTTTCATACCGCCACCCTCGGTCTGTGATACTGTTTGTTGGTAAGAGGATGTGTGCAAATCTACTGCAGTGAATTACAAGATGGTGCACTGCCTCAAAACTGATACATGAATTCTATATGCTTTGGGAAATACAGCTGAACACCTGTAGTCTCCAACCCTGAGATAACTAATAAGATAATCAGGTTAATGTTCTGGGGCTTTTAGAACGTTCCACAGCCACAAACGCACATTACACGCCCATTTTCACAGGCTAATAGTTCCTCATGACAAAACCTCCAGAGGCCTTGTGGATTCAAATTGGTTGAAACAGTGTTAATCAGCCTGAATCCAACTGTCAGTTCAACCATACCCCTGTGCATATTGCTCTGTTTGCTCCACAGCCAAAACAAAGTCTATACAAAACGCCTCAGTTAATTAAAAGCAGAGTCGTTTGATTAGCTCAGCCCTGGTAATATCAGCACAGTAGTAACAAAATGCATTCCAGACTCACCGTTACTTATCAAGAACATCTTTTTGACCCAGTGTAAGTACACCAGGAACACAAGCTTCTTACAAGGAATGCTAGGGAGTGCCAATTAAACAGCTTCTTCCCAAACCTGGAACAAATCACAATTCTGCACAAAGCCTCCTCACACTGGAACCATCACCAGCTAACATCAAGTACAGTATTGTACAGGGTGTTTTCACACTTGGTCCCTTTTAAATGACCTGAACTCAGTCCTTTTACACTGCATTTCCACAATCGGAACCTAACGAGTGATATACCCCATACTTGCCTTAACCATGACCAAGCGTAGCCTCTGGGGATGACGTGGAACATCCTGCTTTATTGTTCCACTACATTTTCTCTCCATCAGTCTCCATTTAGAGGAGGGAGGGGTTTCTGCTCTCTCACACAGACTGTCATTTGTGTGTTTACTCATGGTGGTTGTAATGCTAATATGTGAGGTGTGAAGACATGGGCATTTAACCAATCACGGGCGACTACTCTGCATGCTTGCACCCCCTCCCTGTGTGTAGTCCTGGTACTTGATTTTAGTACTACCTCCTGAGGGGTGCTGAAAATTAGCTCCCAGAATTCCACCGCCGAGTGTAGTGGAAACAAATGCAGAACCCGTGATGAGCGTTACTCAGCAGAACACTTCTATAATGGGAAAACCCCTTTAAAGTGGACCAAGAAAAAAAAAAAAAGGGACTGAATTCTTACAGAGTTCACACTGCCAGTACATTTGAAAGAGGACTCATTTCTCTTTCTGGTCCACTTCAGCTCTGATGGGGCCTCAGCCCTCTTCCTGTTCATACTATAGTGACCCTGGAGCTCTCAGACCTTTACTGCTTTCACATATGACTTACATCAAAGGTTTCTCTACTTCATCTCTTTATTGCATGTGGTAAAGATTCATTCATTCATTCATTTTCTACCGCTTAATCCCTGAGCGGGGTCGCGGGGTACACCCTGGACAGGTCGCCAATCCATCACAGGGCCAACACATAGACGGACAATCACACACATGCACACGCACTCCTATGGGCAGTTTAGAGAGGCCAATCAACCTAAGCTGCATGTCTTTGGACTGTGGGAGGAAGCCGGAGTACCCGGAGAGAACCCACGCAAGCACGGGGAGACCATGCAAACTCCACACAGAAAGGTCCCAGGTGGGGCCCGAACCTGGAACCTTCTTGCTGTGAGGCAACGGTGCTGCCCACTTGTGGTAAAGATAATCAATATAATGTAAAATGAAGCCCCTGACTCTCATACGAGCTGAAAACTGAAGGACACCCTGAGTGCGTCTCTGCATTATATACAGCTGTAGTTTGGGGTGCTCTTTGTTCCACATCTAGAGAAGTGCAGTTGTTTTTTCCTTGCATCCATATGGGTATCAAGACTTAACAGTACTACAGATACCGTCTATTAATCTGGAACTTTACTACCGTTGGTTGTTCAAGTTAAAAAAAGAACTGAATTAACACCACTTTATTTTGTTCACTTTTATTTTTCGTGAGCAGCAAATTACAACAGCATTGTTTTGGGATCACTGGAAAAAAAAAAACTTTTTTTTCCTTTGACAGTACTTTTACTGCCCCCCACCCCCAAATCATTCCCTCCGCCCCTGCTCTGAGCGCTCCGAGGTGAAACTGAGCCTCTGAACGACAAAATCAGCTAATGGTCATTTCCAATCACTAACCCGAGCACGGAATTAACTAAATTATAGGAACGCGGGTTAAAGGCTCCTTGATAAACATACCAGGACAAGGAGACAAACTAGGAACTAGTCGTTAGAAAACTGCGCTTCTCCGTGATGGACGTGCGCTAAATATCTCTGCTGCCGTTTCCGCCCTTTCAAGCAAATGACTGGAAGCGACCCTGGAGCGCTTCGTGTTCGCAATGCATTAGGGGGTCTCGGTTCGGTTCGTTTCAGAGGGATCCGAGTTCGTTTTGATGGCTGAAAGGAACGAAGTGTGAAAACACCCACAGAGAGCTCCAAAAGTCATTATAGGCACAATGGTCTAATAATGTCAATCTAACGGTGTAACCACCTTGTGGACGTGTCTCCAGTGAGCCTGTCTGTGTTATGAACCATTTAGGTCCTTTGTCACACTAATTCGTTCCCTTATGGAAACTGAAAATCCAGTCAACAGTAAATTGAAATTTAATGCTTTGAGCATTGCAAACAAAATGTAATTCTCCTCCATGCTGTTGGGATGGAGACAGAAATCTATGATGCCATCTCAGGATTGTGGCCAATACCATCTCTGCATGGTTCAGTAACATGATCAATATGTTAATCCACTGAATTACCTGCTTAAATTAAGTTTTCACCTTACAACCACTTGCCTTACCATTGACTATGAGTAAGTTAAGTTGGCCAGTGCAACACACTGTGGAAAAATGATTATAAATACAGTCCATTTATGTCAGGTCCGCTCGGGGCGACCTGCCTCTCTTTCTTTTTCCCTCTCCTGCTCTCCCTCTTTGCGGGATCAACGCCTCAGCTGTGTCGCATCGGGTAATTAGTGACTCGTGGGTCGGTGCGCACACCTGAGGCGTATTCCGGTGATTTGTTGGCTTCCTTATTTATACCTCTGGCAGACGCCCCGTCGTCCTTAAATACGTGCTTTGTCTTCCACGCTGACAGTCCCTGTGCTGTGGATTGCATTGTGTACGTTAGTTCTTTTTGTTCATCTGTCCGTTCTCATCCTCCTGCTATCCTAGTTCCTGTCATTAGTTTGTGTGTTTACCGTCCTGGTCTCCTTAGTCATCACTGCCCTTCCCTTGTATGTATTATGGTCCCTGTTTTGTCGTCATGTTGTTTTTATTCCATTAAACCACCCTTTATGTACTATCACCTGGGTCAGCCATCTTGAGTCCAACCCCAGTTCTCCCTCACCCTCCTGGTGAAGGGGACTAAACCATAACAATTTACCATAGACCATCAGAGGAGGACATCTGTACTGTGCATCCCAAGTGAGCTTGGCTGGTACAGTTCAAATGTTTGCTCTGTATAAAGAGTTCAAAGCCTCTTTTGTTTAATAACCACCACTTAAAATAACTTTTTGGTGATATGGGGGCAACATGCCAAACACACAATATTAATAAAGTCAATATCGGGCTCATACGCTGTTAAACTCTCCACTGGCTTCACCTACCAGTTCCATCTCTGATGTTTAGTGCCGGTCAGGTAGCAGACACTGCTTTGAGCTTTTTATGCTGGAAGCTGCTGTAAAAGACACTGAACCAAACAAAGCAAAACAATGAGCTAAACAATGCTACATAGCTTCATAGAACTAGAATTAACTGAACATTTTGACATTTCATTTGATCAATAAAAGATCTTGTTTAATGACTTCAGATGAAAACACCTAGCTGAGGAAAAGTTGGGGCTTCAGGGGTGGTAATAACATGAAACCAGAATCACTCTGTGCCTGTTTAAAGCTTCTAGTTGTGGTGTTTCTTCCCATTTAACTGCCACTTTGGGAACTAGCAGTACCATCATCTGTAGCTCTAATGAGACCTTGACTGAAGGGCACAGTGCACGGTAAATTTGAAAGCTTTTGACAACCACCATATACCATACGTATCCACTTACAGTGCTTACAGCCAAATGATGAATGTTAAAATCTCCCAACCATCTTCTACTCCAGTCCAGAGCAGCTTTGTGAATGAGATCTGATGGGCTCGACTCTTCCGCATCAGAAAGGTTTAGCAATGTGGAAGAAAACTGACCAATTGTGGTACAAATATTTAAAGGATAGTTTAATATTAAGTCTTGCCTGAAATCAATGGCAGATGCTCATATACACTGTACACTAAACAACTCCCCCAGCTGAATATTTGAAACTTTACAGAAAACACAGGGCCTCCAGCAGATGTGACTTCAGAGCCATATGATGGTGTTGGTAATGTGTAGAGACCCAAATCTGCCACAGTGACAGAGCCTGCGTTTCTACACCACCTGCCACAGTGATACCTCAACTTGGGGAAAATATCTGTGGATTGCAAACAAGACTGAAGCTTCTTGTGTTTGCCTCTGCTATGTTCACACAGAGGAGGCCATGCTTCATACAACGCTAGCCTATCGCTCAGTGAAACAAAAGCAGGAATTTTTTTTTTGTCTGTCAGCCTGAGCCTGATTCTGTTTAATTTAAACCCTGCTGGACCCCATCTGGCCTCGTTTACACAGAACACACTAGCTATGGTCCACTCTTCACTTCAGGTTAGTGTTAATATGTGCTAAAGATGAAATGAGCACGTTTTCATGGTAAAGCTGCAGCCACAGCTCCTTAAAAGTCTGAGTTTGTGTAGAAAACCAAAATGAAACTAGGTGAATTTGGTAAATCTTACACCTTATGACATCATCAAGCCAAAACCTGCACTTCAGTCAAGACATTACAAAGAACATTTCACATCATCATATAGTGAATTAAGAGAATTTGTTGCCTTCACTAATTCCTGCACAGAACTAAATCCTTATTGCTAACTGAAACTCATGGCCCACTATATGGCTGCCAGTTAACTGTGAGGTCTGATAACTTCTCAGTCTACATTTCGTGGGTGTGAGGACTTGGAACAACTTACAGTACATAGCTCAGTAGCACACTTCTGTGAGTCCAGATCCATGCGCAACAGTCGCCAGCACCTAAAGGCATTTATCACGTGCACCTATTCCCAGGGTAGGCACAGCTGTGCGCACTCAGTAATAATAAAGCGCGTACATTCTAGGTGGCTGTGCCGGTGTATGACCTGGTTCATTTACATAAAGTTACGCCCCGAGTTCACCATATAAGGCGCCGTCAATGGAGGAATATCCGAAAAGACAAAGGACAGAACAGGTTAATGCTGTGTCACCTGTGACGAGAGCCGCTCCAGATGTTTAAAGCACGGTTTGATTTCAATTTAACTGCCAAAAGAAAGACTGGCCGCCACGAGAGGAGGGCGATCAACGTCATCCGCGTCACCATCAGAGGCATCACTGACAACCCTGATGGTCCTAGTGAGGGCGATGGGAAACAGAACAGCCAGGACTCAAAGTGGCATTTTAATGTTTTATGTGACGTGTTTGGACTTTGCCAGATCTTCATCTCCAGGCTCGAAGTCTGGCAGGACGCGAGCCGAGGGCCCTCACAGGCGCCATGATGGAGAGGCAAGATGAAATCGTTCAATGTGTCGTAGAATACAGTTAAAACAAATCAGCTCAGTTCCACACCGCAACAGATTGTTTCGTTTCTCCCCATTATTTCAGAAAATAAAATAAAAGCCCCACTAAGTTGGAGTATATTAATATGTCTGGGTATATACACATTGTCTTTTCATTTTCCTCCAATAAACCAGCCCTAAAAACGTTGGATTGTCTCTTGCCTAAGATTTCCTGCGGTCAGTCCGGCCGCATGTGAAATTGAAGTCCGCCTATAAAACATTCTTTACTCCAAATGTTTGGAAATCACCACTATGTGCAGCTTAGTCTTTCTCAAATATGAAACAAGTCGTGACAGTGATATTTTTTTCAGAAGAGATGGACTACAACCACACAAACAATCAAACATTTTACTATATCATTTAGGAGACATTTCAAACTAAAACTTGAGTATTTGTATAAGAAAATAACTTTTTGTGCATTTTGAGGCTGCATAAAAACTGTTTGGTCCATAAGTTCTCAGAGGAACTGATGCTTTTCTGTTTTCGGACAGTCACACTGCAACCTCGTAAAGAATGAAGTATTTTTACTGTAACACTTAAGTTAAATTTCAAAATAAAATCCAATATTTGTGTAAAGACATTGCTTTTGTTGTGCACTTTGAGGCACATTGGTCTGTAAGTTCTCACAGATGGTTTTCTGTTCTAGAGGAGGCAGACTCCAACCTCACAAAAAATATAGTATTTATACTGTACCATTTATGATACAAATGCTATTTGTATAAAGACACCCTTGGTTATGGACTTTGAGACTGAATAAAAAAATATTGGCCAATAGTTCTGGACAGGAAATGATGTATCTCTTCTAGAAGAGTTGGACCACAACCTCACAAAGAATCAGACACTTTTACCACATTATTTTGGAAGATTTTTTAAAATGATTATTGCAACACAAAATAACACATTTACAGGACAAAGGACATAAATTAATAAATCAGTAAATGAATAGAAAGAGAGGAGAGAGGACAAAACAAGAAGGGGGGTAGGTAATATTCTCAGTTAATCTGGTTTGAGTGATTGGTGCGACACTTAAAACAGTAGCATGGACATTGAGGACTAATATCCTGGCCATGTTGGAAAGTAGATGGGATTGTTATGCAGTTGAAAGTTAGGGTTGTGCCAAATTGAAGTGTATCTTGATTTAGTGGTTTTGTTTGCTTTTGGAAGATTTTTAGATTAAAATACAATATCTCATCTTGAAAATCCATATTTTTTAACCACAAATATTAAGTTTTAACTTCAAAGTTCTCCTAAATGGTTCGGTTAGCATGTTTATTTATTTGATGTGAGCTTCTAGGGAAGCCCCTGAATCACTTTGACAAATTATGGACTATTGAACTATTTGAAAATTCTCCAAACCAATACAGTAAAACCATCTGATTTGTTGTGAGGGTCTTCCTCTGGAACAACTCAGGAGATTAAACACCCGTCTGTCCAGGCTAACTGGTAGCCACAATGAATAGTATGTTGACTTTAAGGTGCAAAATCAGCAGTTTTCCTTTAATCTTGAAATACTGATAAAATAAGATGCATCCTTGAACTTGCTACAGGCGATTAGGACTGCTCTGTTTTCTTCCATGCAAGGTTTTGTGCTCAGCTGTTTGAAGTGGGCAAACCATGGTGGCAGGAACTTCAAAACATTATACCACACAAAGTACATGCTGTATACTCTTCAACAAAAAATACAATGTGTTAAAAACTTTATTTTGGAAGCAGGCTGCTGGCACTACAACAAGTTTAGGGTCACTGTTCAAGGAAGGACATCTATGATGCAGGCTCATGCCGTTGTTCTGCAGTTCTGATCACAAAATCCACGTCTCATGGAGGCAGAACTAGTACTAGACAGCAGCAGAGCACATAAAAATACAGTCATCTGTACATTCAAATTATGGAGGAGTTATGGAAAAATAAAATGTGAGTGCTATGGCAGGACAATGATCTTCTTCTCCAGCTTCTGCTCAGGAAAGATGAACCTCCTCATGACATCATCAAGCTCCTCCAGAGCCAGCCGGGCATGCAGCACCACCACGTCATCTGGGTCTGAGCAGGCCGCCCACTTTAGAGCTCGGTACAGATCCATCAGAACATCACCGAGAACCTGGAACGGCCATAGTGAACTGTCAGAGAGCTGCACACCCCCAACTCCTTATTCTGTATCAACACTATGTCAGCTTGTGCACACCGGTTGCTCTTGTTACATTTCTGAAGTAGCTGCTCAGTGAGTGTTTGCTGGAGTATTAAACCCACATCAACCAGGACTGAATCCTTACTAATTCAATCTGCACTGCAGGCCTTCTTACAACCACAATAACAGAAGTGCTACATTTAACCATCCACATGTGACATTTTTAAAGCTTTGATAGATCAGTGGATTCCCAGACTCCTGGCTCAGTGTTGTCCTGTCCTCACATGTTGCTCAGCCACCTGAATATCACTAACATCCACCCCACTGCACCTGGCCTGTTCGTCTCCACCTTGGCCCCCCCTTTGTGCTCCTGTCCCCCAGGGTCTGCCCTCTCATCTGATCCAATGTCAATTTGTGGATCATTAAACCTGTGCAGCTGGCGCTGTTCTTCCCCGGGTGTTCCACTAATGACAGGACCAGGCCTGGGACCAGCAGCTGGACAACAGATTGTAGTCGTAGCAGTGGCTCCAGAGCCACATCACAGTGTGTTTCTACTCTGTTACCGCAGGAGGAAGCCTGACTCTTGTTTACTTGTTTCAAAGCTACGTACGTGTAGTTTTATATGAGACTAAGTCGAAAGATAAGAGACTATTCATTAGGTTCTGTCCCAGGATAAACTAAATGTCCTTTTAACAACTCTTGCTGACTGACATAGCTACATTAATGTTTTTCTTTGTTTTTAAATCAACACCAAACCCAGTGACAAGACCCAAACCACCAATGAACTGATGTGGTGATGATCTATTCCTATGGGGAGGCTTCATATTCTTTACTGGGTGTTAAGCTTAAACTGATTCTGATGTCGTTCCCTGTAAGAAGAGTGACGGCCTGTTTGGTGCAGGTAGGTCATTCAAGCTTGGAATGATTCAGTTTTATTTGACTTACCTGGTCCCAGTTCAATCCCTGCAACTCAACAGCTCTTTTAGAAGCATCAGTTTGCATTTGTATAATGTATGGCACTTGTAGACACACATGGGACCAGAGCCAAATATTATCGACTAGATACAGTTTACTATGCATGCACCAAGCTCCGGGCAATTAGATCATTGATACTATCCTTTATAATAAATCAGAAAATGACACTCAGTTGTGGCCGTGAAGATTTCACCTGGTAATAATTAATTTGATATAATTAACTTATTAAACTCACTGCTGATAATTTAGTTTTAATAATTTGTTGAACTTTTTTATACAGATTTATTAAGTGTCATCATATAAGCACAATGTACATTATCCATTTATTGGGTGAACTTGCACAGAGTCCCTACTGTGCTATGAATATATGAATTGATCATTGATCACTGATACCTTCAGTGATTTTCATGTGGCCAACTGCACTGCTCACAGTGTAACATAAAGCACCTGATCCCAGCATTTGCTTCTGATGCACATCTACACAAAAGAGGCACAGAGGACTTGTGTCTTCTGTTCTAGCCTCTTGGAATAGCAGAGGGTGATGAAAGAACTTGGTAACCACAACTGACTTCCAGACTACGGTAAACTCTGACTCCATTTGTCTCTGTGTTTAGCACATTTACAATACCTCTTAATCTTAGCAACAGTTTTTCAACCTTCTCTTTTCTTAGTTTATTTGAGCCTTTATACAACGTTGTCTGGTTTTACATATCATTTATTAGTATGTTTCCTTTTGTACTGTCTCGTCTGAAACCAAGTCTCTCTTGAAAAAGAGGCTGAGATTTACCTGGTGAATAAAATAAAATGAAAATTGAATAAATAAAACTAAAATAAAATAAAATTCCATTTCACCTGAAATTCAAAAGGTAAATTACTGACACCAGGTTCTTGTCATGAAGTCACAAAATGACTGGTGTGAACTGGATGGTGAAAAGGGTTTATGGGTTTCATGCACACTAAGTAGGGAGCGCATGTCTGTACCTGGGTGGTTTTGTCGCTGAGGCCTCGAAGCAGCAGTGCAATAACATGGACAGCAGCTCTCCTCACCTCCGCCTCCTTTTCTGTTTTAATCAGAGCAGTCACACAGGAGCTCAGCTGCGCGCACACACACACACACACACACACACACACACACACACACACACAGAACAGTTAGAGAGGCGTAAACAGGAGGATATGGGCCAAAAGCCAAAACACAATTAAATACAATCTGTAGTCTCCAGGTAATAAATCCAGCATGATGTGGAGCTGTGCTGTGTTTTATAGGACACGTGCAGGCCTACACTGCTCAGGTCAGTAACAAAACTAGAGTCAACTGGATTGATGTATTGGTTGGACAATGAAACTACTTCTACTCATGGACACACACATACAGAGTGAGGTTCATAAAGTATGTGGGCAAGTTCATTAGCAAGCTCTGTCCTCCACTGGTTGACAGAGGTGCTTCTTCATGTCAGCAGGCTACAATGAACACACACGTATGCACACACACACGGCAGCATCTCCATTTGAGTGTCTGACCAGCCTGGAGTACAACAGTGTGAATGTAGGCCGAGTGAGTGGGCATGTGTCTTAACTGCCTAAAGGGACTTAGAAAATGAGGGTAGACAGTGGCATGTTTAAAAAGGGAGTTAAAATGCCATTAGACAGAGAGAAGTTCATAATGGCTACGTACTTGGCAAACGTCTGAACCACCTGTCCAAAACACAGTTTTTAAAAATGTGAGAATGCAGGTGGAAGGGTTTAACAGGGCAACAGTGAGTTCCAGGGTTGATTTCACTGGAATGAGTTAATGCTGATGTTATTATTAGGCTCTCTGCATTCTGGGAGACTCACTAATGGATGTTTGGGGTCATGAGAGAGGAATGCAACCTGAGAGAGTACTGCCTTACGTTCAGACTTGGCAACGTCACATCTTCCACACCAAAGCCATAGGACAGAACTGAGTGTGTTCAAGTGCTGGAATGTCAGACATACTGAGTCAGAGTAAAACAATCTAAAAGTCTGATATAATCACAAAAAAAGGAAAAGGAAGATGGGCAACAAAAATGAATATTGATGTCTGACATACTGGAACATAACAGTGTTCATTTCAGCAATGAAAATGAAGTCTTAGTCAATGAGCTGCTGCATCTGTGGAATCACAAACTGCAGCTCCAGATCACAAGGAGGAATGAAGGGGAAGAAAAGAGTGAGAAGGATGAAGTTAAATGAGATTTCTACTGTTACCAGAAAGGAGAACAGATTTAGGAGCCCGACAGTCACTCAATTCCTGTTTCAGAACTAAATTACAATCAAGTCCCTCATAAAAGCCAACTCTGCTTAGGCCCCGTTTATACTGGTCATTTTAGGTCTCTGTTATCTGGATAAAATCCAGATGAGCTTTAGAACACGTTCATTCACACTGAGCCACATACAGTATATGTATGTATCTCTGAAGTGAGATAACTAAAACGACTGCAGTTGGTCTTTGTTGTACCAGGCTACATGATAACCAGGACCAGCCCTCTTCCAGTCCAGAAGTAGCTGGTAAGGTAGGTTGTGTAGTACTGTATTTGCTGAAAACACCAGAAAAGAAGTAACATCCATACAACAGACATTTAGTTAGCATTAGCCAACTAAACCTATAACCTAATAAACACACGAACAAATTGTATTTATCAACTAAGTTGAAGTTTGATCGTCTTCGCAGCTCTAAATCACACCACCACTTGCTCACCTGCACCAATCATCCAGTGGCTGAACCAATCAGGGCCCAGATCAATGCTACAGCAGCTGGTGTGCTTTATTATTTACAAACCTTTAGTTATCTTAATGGGAGGAGCAACTTCACAAATTATAGACCGGTTTCTCTGTTGTCACAATTTTCAAAAATCTTGGAAAAACTCTTTAATAACAGATTAAACACATTTATTGATAGACATAAAATCCTCTCTGATTGCCAATACGGTTTTAGGTCGAACCGATCGACATCTTTGGCCATTACCGACCTGATGGAGGACATTACAAGTGCTATGGATGAGAAGAAATACACGATGGGAATATTTATTGACCTAAAAAAAGCATTTGACACAATCAATCATGAATTATTAATGGA